ATGTTAGCTCAGGGCTGATCTTCCTCACAAAAAATAAAAAATAAAAAAAAATAAAAACATCGAAAGCATGATCCATATAAAAAAAATTAATAAATTGGCCTTCAAAATTAAAAACTTCTGCTTTTTGAAAGGACATTGTTTAGAGAATGAAAAGACAAGCCAGTACGTTATGGAAGAGGGAGAAAAAGGAGTAGCTTTACTATGAAGAAACTTGACAAACACTACCTCAGCCAGGTGATCAAGGCCAACATCAACTGTCATAAATCATGTTTATAGCATGCACCCTCGATGTGATGTTTGACATGAAGAAAATGGCACTTTACCTGTTATCTTCCTCTCAATAATCCATAACCCTATTCTAATCTAATCACAAGGGAAAACACCAGATAAATTCCAATACAGCAGCATCCTACAAAGTAAGTGACCAATACACCCTAAAACTGTCAGGGTCACCAAAAATGAGGAATCGCTGAAAATCCGTCACTGGCAAGAGATGTGACAACTAAATGCAATGTGGTATCTGAATGAGATCTTGGACATCAGGTAAAAAAAAAAAAGAAATCTAAATAAACTATGGACTTTAGTTAATAAAAATGTATTAATATTGGTTCATCAATTGTGACAAAAGTATCATATTAATGTAAAATGTTAATAAAGGGGAAACTAGGTGTGAGGTGTATGGGAACTCTCCATACTATCTTCTCAACTTTTCTGTAAATCGAAAGCTTCTAAAAAATAAAGTCTATACCAAAAAACAGAAATAAAAAATGGCAAGTCACAGACTTGGAGAAAATATTTGTAAATTACGTATCAGATGAAGGACTTGTATCCAGAATATATAGAAAACTCTCAAAATTCAATAATAAGAAAACAAACAACTCAATTTTTAAAAGGAGCAAATGAGTAGAACAGACATTTCACGAAAGAAAACATATAGTGGTAAACAAGCACATGAAAAGACGCTCAGAATCATCAGTCATTAGAAAAATGCAAATTAAAACCATGAGACATCACTTAACACCTATGAGACTGGCTAAAATTAAAAAGACAGACTATACCAAGTGTTAGCAAGGATGTGTAACTCTCACGTATTGCTGGTCGGAATACAAGCGGCACAATCACTTTGGAGAACAGGTTGGCAATGTCTTAAAAAGTTGAACACGCTTAACATGATACAACCATTTCACTCCTAGATATTTACCCAAGAGTAACAAAAGCCTATGTCCATACAAAGATTTGTACACAAATGTTCATAGCAACTTTATCTTTAATAGTCCCAAATGGAAACAACACATAAGGTCCAACAAAAAGTCCATCAATAAACAAATTGTGATGCACCCCTAAAATGAAATAGTAAGCAATAATAAGGTATGAACTATTGATACACACAAGGACATGGATGTATCTCAAAATAATTATTAGTGAAAAGAAGCAAACAAAAAATATACAGTATATGATTACATTTCTAAAATTTCTAGGGCCGGCCCCATGGCTTAGCGGTTGGGTGTGTGCGCTCCGCTACTGGCGGCACGGGTTCTGATCCCGGGCGCGCACTGACGCACCGCTTGTCTGGCCATGCTGAGGCTGCGTCCCACATGCAGCAACTAGAAGACTGTGCAACTATGACATACAACTATCTACTGGGGCTTTGGGGAAAAAAAAGGAGGAGGATTGGCAATAGATGTTAGCTCAGAGCAGGTATTCCTCAGCAAAAAGAGGAGGATTAGCATGGATGTTAGCTCAGGGCTGATCTTCCTCACACACACACAAAAAAAAAATTCTAGAAAATGCAAACTAATCTATAATGACAGAGTAGATGAGGGGTTGGCAGAAGGGGAGAAAACAGCACACAGGGACTTGAGGAAGTGATGGAAAAATTCATTATTTGACTGTGGTGGTGATTTCATGTGTATACATATGTCAATACTTAGTTGACTGTACACTTTAAATATATACAGTGGGGCCGGCCCGGTGGCGCAAGCGGTTAAGTGCGCGCGCTCCGCTGCGGCGGCCCGGGGTTCGCTGGTTCGGATCCTGGGCGCGCACCGACGCACTGCTTGGCAAGC